GCTCCACTTTACCAGCCACAACATTCAAGTGACAATCACATTAATGCATCCATAATCATGATTCAATAATACATTATTTAGGTTATTCCGAAATGAGCCGTTTAACATACTAAGTACTTATACTTAGTTCCTTAGTTTGATGTTTATACTTTTGTACTTAAGTAAAACTTTTAATGCAGGACTTTTACTTAAGTACAAGATCTGAGTACTTCTTCCACCACTGGATAATGTAACACAGCCATTAAAGTGTTTGTGTGAATCTTTTAGCCTCTTACATTAACTGAACCAGAAGCCATCTATTTATCTTGGAGTTGCTGATGGCAAGTAGAAAATAAATACAATGGACCCCGCAAATTATTTTGCTGCACTAATTAGAGGTGTACCATACCATATTGTTCACGATAATGCTGGTATAATTTTTAATATCATATGAAAAATAAAGAAAGATAGAAAGATACTCACAATATTTCGACTTGTTAACATATTGACATCACACTGTTACCCACGGCAACAACAAGCATGGCTGAAAGCGAAATTATTACCGACTCTGCGGTGGTTCCAAAAAGAGGAGCAGCTTCAGTAGTGTGGAATAAACTGTGGCGTCCTGAATGTTTTATGAACAGCCCCGGACTTCTCAGACTCTTTTAGTGAGTTACTGCTCAGAGGGAACTCATTCAGCGGCTCCTCTGGCAGCAGCACAGCGTCTCTCCCTCTTCTCTCTCGCCGTGCGCACATGGGAGTCAGTGTCGTCAAGTGATTTTGTCATAAACCTTTGGTAATGTAAACCTACATATGTGATGCTCGCAACTCGTCACAGGTTACAGCGTGATGATTAGAGGAGAAATGGCAGAGCTCAATCATTTAGGATTTTACTAAAAGAAGGAATTCACCTGTTGATTTATATATATAGATCCCAGGGTACATTTTTTGTATTTGGAAACTGTTTAAATGTGTAATTTGTGGTAGATTTTATTTTGTTGAACTATTAATATTGTATACAGAATCTGAATGTCACTCTGAGTTACTGTTGTTGTTTACAAACTAAAGAAACGAGAGATTGTTTTTGTTTAGTTTTTACTGAATATTAAGACAAACATGTTTGACTTGATACTTTGTCTTATTGTCTCCTGCAGAGCCTCCTAAAGCATGACTTATTATATGTCATGGAAGTCAATCCACGGGAAGAACAAATGATGCTTTAATGGCAGGTATGACACAATGGGTGGAGCTGAGTGTAATGACCATAGTATTTAATGTGAGAACAAAGACAAGGAGGCACAGTGAAAATGTCTCTTTACCGGCTTCTGTGTGGTCTCACTGTGATGATCATTCTGTCATCAAAAGGTAAGAAAGCCAGTTTAATTTTTCTTTATAATATTACTTTTTCTTTTTTAATTTCTTGGCTCATATTAAAGGTGGATGAGACTATCATGCTACTTTTGTGGGTCTTAAAGGAGACCTATTGTGCTTATTTACAGGGTCATATTGATATAAATATGTAAAATTGCACTGCTCATTGCTGCAGCACCTCCATCTGAAACGCTGTGTTTGGGCTTATGTCCCGCCTCCCTAGCAACCCAGTCTGCTCTGATTGGTCAGCTCACTCAGTCTGTTGTGATTGGTGCAACGCTTAAAACATATCTCAAAAACCTCACTCCCCTTACCTTACCTGACTTTACCTCCGGAGGCTACCGCAAAACAACAGAGGCTAAGCTAACGACGGCGACCGTCCACCATTATCAATTTGAGTGAAGAAACACGAACCGATAAACTCGGAGGCAGCTTTGCGATGAACACTGGAGCAGGATGTTTCACAGTGTTAAGTTTTTATTTTGTAGCCGTCTTATATTTCAGCTGTAACATAATAACTAACTTATCTGATGTTATAGTAAAAACTGTATGATAAAAGAACTACACTCTTTTATAATTTAGTCCCGGGGCTAATTTAGTACCACATTTCGGTATCCATCCATAGTCAACATCTAAAACGTTAAACAGTGTTGTCCCCTCCGTGTAAAATCAGCGGACCAAACATACGTATTCAAACACATGTAGAGACAGACACACACAACGTCCTTTCATCACACAAATACCTCCTCAGCTGTATAACTCAGACTAACTACAATGTTTAGTAACGCTACTGTGAACGGCCTCCATGTAACAGAGCTCCAAGTAAAAAAACACATTGCACATTTTCCATAAAATGCACGATAAAAGCCGATTCACAATCAAACTCCGAGTACAGCCACACATTTTAACAAATAAATGCAGGTCTGATTGCTGCCTGTCCGCTAATCCCTCGAGCTAACGGCAGTTAGCTGCTCAGATCGGGCGTCACAGATAGACATGTTGAAACTTTTGTCAATATGGACATGCTACACATTGTTAGCTCTGTTAGATTCTCCACAATTTAATCGTTAAATTCATCTTACTGAGACTAGCAGTGTAACTTACTGTACGCCAAGTAGCAAAAGCATTTTAAAACCACAGCTTTGGTTAGCCGGTTAGCCAAGACCTATAGCTAAGCACCGGGTATACAGCCTAACGTTAGCTCCTACAGCCATCTACTCCACACTCGGTTGCAGCTTCCCAGTTTGTTTTCAAATTCACAACTCATAAAGCATACTTACAGGTTGTAATCCTGAATCTCCAGATTTGTCCAACAAAGTGAACGTCCCCATCTTTAAGGAGTAACTGCAGTGAAAATCCATCACTAATCCGTCGCCAGTTTGTGAAGCAGTCCTCAGGAAAATAAAGGGAACAGAATAAAATGTCTGGGTTGTATTGTGGAGGAATTGTATCAAAAATAAATTCCAACCACTTCTTTGTTCCTCCACCTCCGCTTGGAGCAGGTGTTTCGGGGGTGCGGCTCAGTGGGCAGCAGGCGGGCACTGCGTGCCATGCTAATTGCACATTGTAGGAAATAACTTCGCGGAAATAAAGGTGGGAAATTCAAATGAACTGTTTCAGGCAGCTCAGGAACTGTGTGTATGTGGGGAGACAGAATTCCCTTTAGCCTGGACTTTTTTTGTTTTACTTAGCAGACCTTATAGAGGCAGAAAATGCTATATAACACACTAAAGAAGAATAAAAATCCCAAAAAGCATAATAGGTCTCCTTTAAAGGGCTCTAAAGTAAGATTTTTCTATGTGATTACTGTGTAAGGCCCCCTGTGGCACCGTGCCTGTAATGTGAATACATTACACTAACCACTCACTCTGCAGTTCAGCCATGTACCTCAAAGTGATGACCATCTTTTTCATATCAGAAACGCTTTTCCACAGTTTGTTGTATGAGTGAAAAAAGGGGGACTTTAATAGCTGATCTTTAAATATGTTCATCAGATTACAGAGCAAATATTTCAAGTAAAAACCGCAAAATTCCTGATTTTATGATGTAATCAAAAATACTAACTTAAATGATAATAACTATATTTATATAGCACATTTCATGAGAAGATGCAGCATAAGATAAAAATAAACATTAATAATTTAAAAAAAAGGAGAAAAAAAAACAAAGTTAGTTATAGTTATAGCAATAAGTGAGAGAAAAATAAACAAAACTTGGTCACAATACAACAAAATTTAATACCAGTAAAATTAACCCAAATTAAAAGCCAAACTAACAAGATAAGTCTCTAATTTCTTTTGTAAAAAATCTTCATAAAAGCTCCAGTGTGAAATGTGAAAGCTAATCAATTAAAGTCCCTAAAGTGTCAGTAGAGTGCTGGTAATCAGCTGTGCTTCATTTCGAAAACTCTCTCTGTCTTTTCCACTCCTCTAAATAAACTATGATTAATTAAAGAGAATAATTATGCAAGTTACTGTTTGGAAATGTTACCTGCAAGCGGAACATCAGTAGAGTGCAGAGCCAAATTATTCTGAATCAGATTTTCTCCAATGATCTTCTATCAGCCGTTGTTTCACGGCCTTGTGGGGCAGCAAAACAAGGCCTTTCAACCATAGCACTATGTGGAGTCAAGTATTCTGAAAAGTTTTAGAAATATTAACATCATTATATATATATCCCTGTCTTTCCACGTCTGACTTCACTCTCAACCTACAGTAGAACAGTACAGTGTATCAGCATAAATTCTAGACAGCTTAAGCTCAAGACATGTGGGCCCTATGGACCACCTTAAATTGCTATAAGCAATGTCTTGCGCAAAGTGACAATGTATGTATTGTTGAAAGAATAGAGACCTATTGGTCCTCAGATATAGGTCCCACATCTTGTTCCCAACCCTGACGTGCACCTCCCCGTCCCAGCGACGCAGACCTCCTGTCTATTTTTGTAAGCTGAAACCATTTCCCTCAGTGGAAACGAAGCATTTATTTACTTTCATTTCACAGATAAACAATAAATTGTGGAGACAATAAAGCCTCCACAAAAAAAGCATTTTAAGTCTTGTGTGTCATTTATCCTTTAGAGATTTATACTTCGGGATTCATCCTGGCTTCATATGAGCAGAGGAAATCTCCGCTCATCGCTAGGCTAATTCATACAATGTAAAATGCCATAGGCTTGTGCTAATAACGTTAGCACGTTACATTTGTTTGGAAAACTTGTTTAGTATAAGACAGTTGTTTTGTTGTTTTGTCAGTGAACCTTGTGAGTTGTAATGGAGCCGAATTTTGTAACATTACCTTTGTTAAATGTTGCTGTTGTCCCTGGTTTTATATGAGTAGAGGGAAAGTCCACTAGCTGCTAAGCTGATTTATACAATGTAAAATGCCCCCCCCCCCCGTACTAATGACGGAGATTAGGGAGCCCAATGCAAAATCTTGCTTACTCATGGCCTCTTATCCTGACATATGTATGATGAAAAAAGTTGAATCTCCTGACACACGATGATCCCACAAAAGTTTTAGAAGTAGGCCCCAGTTAAATTTCCGCATATCCTGTTGGGTTTTGGTATGTGCTCACAAATGCATGCCCTCATCATGTGATTCACCTTGACTGAGTTTACTTAACATGTCTCTTTGTGTTTTAAATTTCAGGATGTCAATCACAGCATGGGCCAGGTAAGCACCCAAGAGCAGCATTACAAGTTTTGTTTCTGCCCGTCAGCTATGTACGACTTCTTGCCTATACTCCATGTTTAACTCCCCTCTCTTCTCTTCTGTCAGTTTGTGGCCGAGCTGTAAGAAACTCCAGAATTGTGGGAGGTGAAAATGCATCTCCGGGAAGCTGGCCCTGGCAAGTCAGTTTAATCTCGAACGGCACTAACTACTGTTCAGGGTCCCTGATTAACAACCAGTGGGTGTTGACGGCTGCTCACTGCTTGACAGTGTAAGGGATCACTGTTGCAAATTCTTTTATACATTTTATGAATTTGGTTTGTTAGCTTTTAACGGAGATAGGCAATACACAACATAAGTCAAGAAACATTTTCAAGCATTACTTCACACAGGTACATTACTTTACATACATACATCAGGGACAGAATGATTTGATTAACATCTATGTGATTAAAGTATTTGAAGATTAACATGGTATCAGCATTTTTTGACAAAAAAACACTTATCTCAATTAGACCCCTGGTCTGTTTTTTTTTTTTTTTAATATAAGTTCTTCAGATGTATAAAACCGGGTTGTTTGCTACCTCAAATTATGTGTCCATTCCTTGATTACCCGATAAGTTATTCATATTCCTCTAGTCAGTAAGAGTCCTCAGATCAAAAGAATCAAAAGGGTATTTCATAAAAATTAAAGTTGTGAGTATTATTTTAACAGGACAAAGTGGTGTTTTGTCGGTATGGCGGGTGCGGTAATCCTCGAGTGCCATAAATGACACTCTGATGTGCTGTCTGTCGGAGATAGATCAAATGAATAATTCATAAGAGATATGTTATCTGAAGCCTGATTTTTAAACAAGTCACAACAGTATTGACACTGCATTAGATAAACAATTTGATTGTTTTTCCTGATCTTTGCTGGGCAACAGTTTTGTGTGAAAGGAATTAAAGCCCTTTCCCAAAACTAGGCCTGTTGATTTCAATGATTTAACCAAATAATAGTCAGAGATATTAAATAAGTTTTACAGTAAACTACTGAAAACATAATTATAAATAGCATATAATATTTCTGCCAACAGATGCCTCTAAATCCTACCACTGTGCCTATAACCAAACAAAATCAACTGATGAGGCAAAATAAAATCAATATTTTATCAATATCCTGATATGAGACTTGATAACGCCTTAGATTTTAGATATCGTAATATTGTTGTCTCTTCCTGGTTTTAAAGTTTGCATTACAATAAAGTGATGTAATCTTCTGAACTCACAAGACCAATCTAGCTGTCAGTCATTATTTCCACATTATTGATGATTCTTTATAAAAAAAAAATGTTATTATGTAAATATTCTGTGAAAGCTCCAATAGTCAACCCTACAAAACAGATATTGAGGTATTTGATCAGACATATTAAGATATTGATATTGTTAGTATCACACAGCCATTATGGAGCCCAAAGTACTAACATTCCCCAATTTGTAATACTGAACAGGCACTCTGGATGCCGAACAGTAAAAAATTGACTCTTTTTCTTTTTTGTCCTTAAGAGATGACCTTCAAACTACAGAAGTGTTCCTGGGCCGCCACAGCCAGTCAGGTCCAAACTTGAATGAAGTGTCACGGCGACTTGACAGGATCCAGTGCCATCCATCATATGAATTTCTGACCAAAAACAACGACATATGTCTTCTGAAGCTGTCGGCGCCGGTGAATTTTACGGACTACATACAACCGGTCTGCTTGGCCTCCGCAGAGAGCACTTTCCACACCGGGGTTAGCAGCTGGGTCACTGGTTTTGGTTCTACTCAGGCTGGTAAGCTCACACACTGAACACTTTTGTCACATAAGGACACAGACAGATGTGTCATGTCTTTTATTGCACACCAATTTCAAGTGTACCTTTGAAATATCTCCCATTAGATTCATTTACCCAAGCCAACATCCTGCAGGAGGTGAATTTACCAGTGGTGGGAAACAATGAGTGCCAATGCACCCATCGCCACCTCACAGACAACATGATCTGTGCTGGGCTCAAAGCTGGAGGGAAGGATGCATGTCAGGTGACCACCACTGTTTGTGCATTTGTTATGTAATGCCTTGACGACAGCCAGGGGTGAAATTAGTTTTACAGCAAGGTGCAGAACAATGTCTTAAGAATATGTAATTCCAGTTTCAGTTTCAGGGCACATGCTGCACCTTTTTACTAGCTTGTCTTCATTCAACTGTCTCACTTGAGTCTTTGGATACCGTTAGTTATGTTAGCATTAGCTTACCTTAGCTTTCATGGATTTTACCATTGTTTTGTTGCTGATTCTTTGTTGCAAGCACTGTTAGCTAAAATTTCTGGCTAAAAACTGCTCAGGAGTAGCCCGAGGAAAATGACAAAGACCTCAAGGCATTGACCTTGCCTCCAAATTCCCCAAATCCCAGTCTGATCAAACATCTGTGGGACATCCTGTTACTCCACAACCCACAGGACCCAAAAGCTCTGAAGCCAGCGTGTTAGTGCTAGACACTATAAGACACCCGGTGTTCATGCCTTGACAGGTCAGAGCCAAGTCTGGTCCAAGAAGGACCCACCATGGATCGGGGGTACCTCTGGGGTACAAGCACGTCCCTAAAAAGTTCGATCAGATTGAGATCTGGGGTATTTGGAGGCCAGGTCAACACCTTGACCCTTTGTCCCATTTCTGGGATCATTCCTGAGCAGTTTTTGTAGTGTGGCATGGTGCATTGTCCTGCTGGGGGGCACTGCCATCAACAAGTACCATTGTCATAAGGGGGTTTACTTGGTCTGCAACAGTGTTTTGGTGGGCGGAGCGCATCAGATAGCATTTACATGAATGCCATGTCCCAAGGTTTCCCAATGGAACACTACACTATAACAGGATGATCAATGTTATTCACTTCACCCGCCAGTGGTTTTAATGTTTTGGCTGATCGGTGTATATTAATTTTGGTTGCACTGAATATTAGACTGATTATTTTAAATGTCTAACAATGTTTAGAATTTCACAATGTTTGGATCCTACCATTATGAAGTTTTGCAGATGCTGAGTTTTGTTTTCCATACCTCATGACTAAATAATTCTAATAATTCTACATCAAGATGTTGTTGGCGTGAGATGTTTGCAAGACGCTAGATTTTGGTTACCTAACAGCACAACATAAAAACCAACAAAATATCAATATTGTCTGTTGTCAGTTCTTTACATCAAATTGACATTGGCATTAGGCATTGTCTTTACACTGAATTTTGGTCACCCCTCGTCACAACCTTAATTTAACCACATATCCATGTCCAGCTACATAGGTGGCCAGCTGGGCACTTTATTGGTTTAAATGGTATTCTATAAAATCATTTCCAAGGAGATCAGACTTTCACAGTTGCCAAACATCATTACAGGATTCATGATGGAACTGAGACTAAAAGATAATCTATCCTATCCCTGCAACTATCTGTTTCTTGTCACAGGGAGACTCAGGGGGGCCACTGGTGACCAAAAAAGATTCAATGTGGATCCAGATTGGAGTTGTGAGTTTTGGTGAGGGCTGCGCCAGGCCTATGAGTCCTGGAGGTTACACACGTGTATCCCGGTACCAAGACTGGATCAGAAACATCATTGGCAGCAGCGAACCTGGCTTTGTTACCTACATCTCCTCAGGAGTGGACAGTGACTTAAACTTTAACTGTCCTACATCACCATCAGGCATTGCCGCAACCACCACAACGCCCAGTACTACAACAACCAGAACAACACCCACTACCACAACAACCAGCACAACGGCCACTACCAAAACCAGCAAAGCACCCACCACCACAACAACCACCACTGCGACGCCTACTACCACAACAACAAGCACAATGCCTACTACCACCAAGTCCAACATGACGCCCACTACCACAACAACCAGCACAATGCCCACAACCAGCACAAAACCCACCACCACAACGACCAGCACAACACCCACTATCACAGCCAGCACAACACCCACCACCACAATGACCAGCACAATGCTCACAGCAACTACAACAAAGCCCACTACCACCAAAACCAGGACAAAGCACACTACCACAACCAGCACAACACCCACCACCACCAGCAGCACAATGCCCACAACCACAACCAGCACAAAACCCACCACCACAACGACCAGCACAACGCTCACAACAACAGCAACAATGCCCGCTACCACCACAACCAGGACAACGCCCACTACCACAACCAGCACAGCACCCACCACCACCAGCAGCACAATGCCCACCACCACAACGACCAGCACAACGCTCACAACAACAGCAACAATGCCCGCTACCACCACAACCAGGACAACGCCCACTACCACAACCAGCACAGCACCCACCACCACAACCAGCACAATACCCACCACCACAACGACCAGCACAGTGCCCACTACCACAACCAGCTCAACATCCACCACCACAACAACCAGCACAACACCCACTACCACAATAATTAGGACAATGTCAGCTACCACAACAACTAGAACAATGCCCGCGACCGCCAAAACCAGGACAACACCCTCTACCACAACCAGCACAACACCCACTACCACACTAACTAGAACAATACCCGCTACCACAATGACCAGCACAACGCCCACCACCACAACCAGCACAATACCCACCACCACAATGACCAGCACAACGCCCACCACCACAACCAGCACAATACCCACCACCACAATGACCAGCACAATGCCCACCACCACAACCAGCACAATACCCACCACCACAATGACCAGCACAGCGCCCACTACCACAACCAGCACGACACCCACTACCACACTAACTAGAACAATGCCCGCTACCACAATGACCAGCACAACACCCACCACCACAACGACCAGCATAGCATCCACTACCACAACCAGCTCAACACCCACCACCACAATGACCAGCACTACCACAGTAACTAGGACAATGCTCGCTACCACAACAACTAGAACAATGCCCGTGGCTGCCAAAACCAGTACAACACCCACTACCATAACATCCAGGATAATGCCTACTACAACCAAAACCAGGACAATGCCCACAACCACATTAACCAGCACAAGGCTCACTACCACAACCAGCACAACACCTACCAACACAGCAACCAGTACATCACCCACTACCACAACCAGCACAACACCCACCACAACAACAACCAGCACAACACCCACTACCACAGTAACCAGAACAATGCCCGCTACCACCAAAACCAGGACAGTGCCCACTACCACAACAACCAGCACAATGCCCACTACCATCAAAACCAGCACAGTACCCACTACCACAACCATCTCAACACCCACCACCACAACAACCACCGCGACGCCCACTACCACAACAACCAGCACAACGCCCGCTACCACAACCAGCTCAACACGCACCACCACAATGACCAGCACAATGCCCGCTACCACCAAAACCAGGACAACACTCACAACCATAACAACCAGCACAGCACCCATTACAACAACCAGCACAATGCTCACTACCACATTAACCAGCACAAGGCTCACTACCACAACCAGCACAACACCTACCAACACAGCAACCAGTACAATGCCCACTACCATAACCAGCACAACACCCACCATGACAACATCCAGCACAATGCCCACTACCACCAAAACCAGGACAATGCCCACTACCACAACTACCGGCACAACACCCACCACCACAACCAGCAAAACACCCACTACCACTACAACCAGCACAACGCCAACTTCCACAACCAGCACAATGCCCACTACCACATTGAGCAGCACAAAGCTCACTACCACAACCAGCACAACGCCCACCACCACAACCAGCACAACACCAACCACAACAACCAGCACAACACCCACTTCCACAACCAGCACAATGCCCACTACCACATTAAGCAGCACAAAGCTCACTACCACAACCAGCACAACACCCACCACCACAACAACCGCCGCGACACCCACTACCACAACAACAAGCACAATGCCCACTACGACAACCAGCACAACGCCCACCACCACAACCAGCACAATGCCCACAACCACATTAACCAGCACAAGGCTCACTACCACAACCAGCTCAACACCCACCACCACAACGACCAGTACAATACCCACTACCACAACCAGCACAACACCCACCAGAACAACAACCAGCACAATGCCCACTACCACAACAATCAGAACAATGCCCGCTACCACCAAAACCAGGACAACACCCACTACCACAACCAGCACAACACCCACCACCACAACAACCAGCACAACGCCCACTACCACAACAACCACAACAATGCCCGCTACCACCAAAACCAGGACAACACCCACTACCACAACCAGCACAACACCCACCACCACAACAACCAGTACAACGCCCACTTCCATAACAACCACAACAATGCCCGCTACCACCAAAACCAGGACAACACCCACTCCCACAATCAACACAACACCCACTACCACAACAACCAGCACAAAGCCCACTACCACAACAACCAGCACAATGCACACTACCACAACAACTACCACAACACCCACTAGCACCACAACCTCAACATTCCTGCTTAACACAACATCCACTCACTTTAGCTCACTCTGTCTTCTGGTGATTTCACTCTATGGGCTGGTTGGTGACTTATAACATCAGAATGTGAAACAACAAGCTATTTACAGTTTGAGGTTTGAGGCTTCTTCTTTCAATGTAGAGAATATGAAAGGAAAAATGCATTACTAAAGGTTTATTGTCAGCAAAAAAAAAACAACAAAACAAAACACTGCACGTCGGCAAAAAGAGGATTTTTGGGATTTTACATTGAATTATCAGAGGTTAATTAAGGTTTCAAGCCTGAAGGGCTGAAACCCTTTTGTTTTTGTCCTGTTTTATTATCGTTATTATTATTAGGGGTTCAAGCCATTAAAGCTGCATGCAAGCTTGAACCCCGGAACTGCTGCTTGTGGCTATATTATTTAATTGTTTTTACATAGGAAAGCATTAAGATGTTAAATGAGCACGTCAAAACAAAAGTATTTATTACTTGTATAACATTGATAATGGAGATTTACTTAATTATAAGTAACCCTCAAAACTGTATAGTTCATTACTATTTCTATTTTCTGTTACTTTATACTTCTACTCCACTACATCTCAGAAGGGAATAATGTACTTTTTACCCCACAATATCTATTTAATAACTTTAATAACTAACTCTGTAGACTCAGATTAAATACAAAATATTGTCAACAAATAAACTGAAGTATTGGGCAGCTGTGGCTCAGAGGTAGAGCAGGTCGTCCACTAATCAGAAGATTGGCAGTTCGATTCCCAGCTCTGCATGTTGAAGTGTCCACGGAATTTGCTCACGATGGCTGTTCCATCCGTGTGAGTGTGTGTGAATGGTTACTGAGTAGTAGGTGGCACCATGTATGATAACTTGGCCACCAGTGTGCGACTGGGTTAGGGTTCATGATAATACCGGTATAATTTTTAATAGAATATGAAAAATTCATATCACACAATATTTCGACTTGTTGACATATTGACATCATACTGTTACCCACGGTAACAACAAGCATGGCTGAAAACAAGACTACTACCAACTCTGTGGTAGTTCCAAAAAGAGGAATAGCTTCAGTAGTGTGGAACAAACTGTGGCGTCCTGAATGTTTTATGAACAGCCCCGGACTTCTCAGACTCTTTTAGTGAGTTACTGCTCAGAGGGAACTCATTCAGCGGCTCCTCTGGCAGCAGCACAGCATCTCTCCCTGTCCTTTTTCACAGTGCACACACAGGAGTCAGTGTCATCAAGTGATTTTGTCATAAACCTTTAATACTGTAAACTTATGTGATGCTTGCAACTCGACAAAAAACTACTTATGTGTGAATGTGCAATAGTTATCACAGCATGACAGCTCTTCACAGGCTACAGCGTGATGATAAGAGGAGAAATGGCAGAACATAAAAGTCCAGGTGGTAAAAAAACAACTCAATCATTTAGGATTTTGCTAAAAGATAAGGAATTCACCTGTTGATTTATATATATATAGATCATAGGGTACAGCTTTTTTTTGTATTTGGGAGCTGTTTAAATGTGTAATTTGTGGTAGATTTTATTTTGTTGAACTATTAGTATTGTATACAGAATCTGAATCTCACTCTGAGTTACTGTTGTTCACAAACTAAAGAAATAAGATCATTTTTGTTTAGTTTTTACTGAATATTTAAAGACAAAGCATGAAACTATATCACTTATTATGTTGCAATTCAATGTTTTTTATGAATAATAAAATATTTTTTTCACTAATTAGTCATATTGTCAAGGATATCGTTATTGCAAAAATATCTTTAAATATGGTGATATTATTTTAGGACCATATCGATGATTATGACCTTTGAAGGAGTTGTGGGAAATTCACCTCTTACTAAATGTTACGGTAACTCTATTCTCCTGTAGTACACAGGTGTGTGTACTTAGTATGCAGATACATCACAGGCATCAAGACAAACATGTTTGACTTCGTGCTTTGTCTTATTGTCTCATGCAGAGCTTCTTAGAGCATGACATGTTATGTCGGGGAAGTCAGAACAAATGATGTTTTAATAGAAGGTATGGAACTGTGGGTGGAGCAGAGTGTAAGGAACATGGTATTTAACATTGAGGACAAAGAGAAGGAGGCACAGTAAAAATGGCTCTTTACCAGTTTCTGTGTGGTCTTACTGTGATGATCATTCTCTCATCCAAAGGTAAGAAAGCGGATTAATTTTTCTTTATGATATTACTTTTTCCTTTATTAATTTCTTGCCTCATATGAAAAGGTGGATGAGATTATCATGCTACTTTTGTAGGACTTTAAGGGCTCTAAAGTAAGATTTTTCTATGTGGTTACTGTGTAAGGACCCATGTGGCACCCTGCCTGTAATATGAATACATTATACTAACCACTCACTCTGCAGTTCAGCCATGTACCTCAAAGTGATGACCATCTTTTTCATATCAGAAACACTTTTCCACAGTTTGCTGTATAAGGGGGAAAAAGGGTCACCCTGACAGGGTCAAAATAAAGTGGGACTTCAATAGCTGATCTTTAAATATGTCCTCCAAATTACAGAGCAAATATTTCAACTAAAAAAAGCTAAATCACTGATTTTATAATGTAATCAAAAAAGTGATTAAACTTAAATAATGATAACTGTATTTATGTAGCACATTTCATAAGAAGATGCAGCATAAAGTGCTTAACATGACACGATAAGATGAAAATAAACAATTGAAAAAAAGGAGGAAAAAAAGCAATAATAGTTATAGCAATAAGTGAGAGAAAAATAAACAAAACTTGATCACAATGCAACAAAACTGAATACCAGTAAAATTAACCCAAATTAAAAGCCAAATTAACAAGATAAGTCTCCAATTTTTTTTGTAAAAAATCCTCATAAAAGCTCCACTGTGAAAACTGAAAGCTAATCAATTAAAGTCCCTAAAGTGTCAGTAGAGTGCTGGTAATCAGCTGTGCTTCATTTCAAAAACCTTTCCTGTCTTTTCCACTCTAGTTTAAACTATGATTAATTAAAGAGAATAATTAAGTTACAAGTTACTGTTTGGAAATGTTACCTGCAAGTGGAACATCAGTAGAGTGCAGAACCAAATCATTCTGAATCAGATTTTCTCTATCAGCCATTGTTTCACGGCCTAATGGGGCAGCAAAACAAGGCCTCTCAACCATAGCACTATGTGGAGCGTTCAGTCAAGTATTGTGAAACATTTTAGAAATATCTTATCTTATCTTTTTGTTATCAGAGTACATGGCAAACCTTAAAATATGTGTCTCACTGCTCTCAAAGGAGTCTAGCAGGTTCTTAGAAATTTAGGCAACTAACCCCAAGGTGAAAGTCAGCGGTAAGAGGTTTGACTACTTCATGTTGGACAGAATTTTTGGCAAGTGTATTTGCACTTGCATTTTTCTCCTATTGACCTTTTGCCCTTAGTGTCCTGTTGTGCAACTGTGCAGTTGCAGTGTTGAATTCGTTTGTGTGTTTACCGAGAGCAATAAGCAGAGAGTAATGTGACACTGCATGCCTAGAGAAAGTCAAGGTAGTGTCAAAAGTATAGCATCATGTCAGCCATGACTGGGGTTTGACAACAGTGCAGATTTTAATACTTGAGTCGTGTGAAAAACATGGAACCTAGACTTTAAAATTAACTGGTAACAGCGCCACACAGTGGACATTAGTGTGCAGAACAAACAAAAGCAGACATGGCCCTGAGGCAATTATAGCAATACCTTATATACACTGCCTGGCCAAAAAAAAAGTCACCACCAAAAAAAAAGGTCATACACTCTAATATTTTGTTGGACCGCCTTTAGCTTTGATTACGGCACGCATTCGCTGTGGCATTGTTTCGATAAGCTTCTGCAATGTCACAAGATTTATTTCCATCCAGTGTTACATTAATTTTTCACCAAGATCTTGCATTGATGATGGTAGAGTCTGACCGCTGCGCAAAGCCTTCTCCAGCACATCCCAAAGATTCTCAATGGGGTTAAGGTCTGGACTCTGTGGTGGCCAATCCATGTGTGAAAATGATGTCTCATGCTCCCTGAACCAGTCTTTCACAATTTGAGCCCGATGAATCCTGGCATTGTCATCTTGGAATATGCCCGTGCCATCAGGGAAGAAAA